TATTTTGGGCGATGGCTGATCTTTAGGGCGAAATCTGTACGTTAAATGTGACTTGGAACTAAGAAAATATTTCGGGAATTTGTAACAGGAAAATGCCTTCAAATATGGAAATGTTAACAAATCAGTGATTTAGCAACATTCTCTAATAAACATAAATAATTTGTTTTGGCTATCCTGTTTAAAAATATTTTTTATAGTTACCTAGGCGATAAAAACATAGGTCATGGCAAAGTATGTTATCTATTAATTACGAAATTCATACTGCATCATGATATTCAAAAACAAATAACGAAACATCCATCGTAGCGAAACAGAGTAAAATAAAAAGGATATTTGTTTCCGGAAAAATACTAATATTCAATCCTGAATAGCGATCGGCAGTCAATGTTAAATTGTTTCACTAACAATTGAGCACACACACGGTAAGTATACAGTTTGTTATTTCTTGCAAATTCGAAGACGTAGTTACCTAAATAAAATGCGCACGTAAATAAATTTTATCGATGACCATCCCAACTAATATTATAAATGCGAAAGTAACTCTGTCTGTCTGTCTGTCTGTTACGCTTTCCCGCTTAAACCTCGCAACCGATTTTGATGAAATTTGGCATAGAGATAGTTTGAGTCCCGGGAAAGAACATAGGATAGTTTTTATCCCGGTTTTTGAAACAGGGACGCGCGCGATAAAGTTTTTCTGTGACAGACAAAATTCCACGCGGGCGAAGCCGCGGGCGGAAAGCTAGTTAACTATGAAAGGCTCATAATCTGATCTAAGTTTAAAAAACACCTACACAGCGTTTTCTTTACAAAGTGAAGGTAAATGACCAAAGAGAAAGTACCTACTTGAAGTATTCGATACCCAGCATATTTTGTCAAAATGTCAAATCACGTGAAACGATTTTGGTCCTTATGTTAAAGATATAAAGTTCTAAATACGTTGGGCAATTTGAAATTTTGAGGTTGACCTGCTGACGACTGTACATTAGACTCGACGCCGGCGGAAATTAGCATTTTTGTCTACCTCTTAGTTCTTTTATTCGGCGATCCAGACATTTTTACGTATTTTCAAAATATTTCAAGATTCTAGACTGACTCTCACTTAGGTACTGAGTGAATATCATGTGTTGTATAAGTCAGAAAAAAATATAGCAAAATCGTACAACTTAGAATAACAACATTAAAATAATACCTTAAAATTAAGTACCTAACTTATAACAAAAACTTTTACCATTTTCATAGACTTATTTACGCAGAAAAGTATAGATGACCCACGCTGAACTGTCCCGCCAAACTCAATGACAGGGGGGCGCTACCATCGTTCAACTTTATGGTTTCCAACATGGCAAAAATCGGAACCAGCGATTCGGTATTGACGGTGGCGCCCCGCTGTCAATGTCATCGATAGGACAGTTCAGTATTTTGGAACTTTAAATAAACTTGACATGTTCGCAGTTTTGGCAGACAATTGTTTAGTGACACTGTCATAATTTTAAAGTAATAAATATTTATACACATAAAAGTAACGTTACACAATAAAAAATGTACAGAAACGCATATCAACGAGGTATGCTCACAGTATTCTTCAGCGTTGGCTCCAAACCGTTGAACATTTGGGAGACACATACTCAGGATGGGTATATCACGAGGTTTCTGGATCAGGACATTAAGTCTATGGTGTTAGAAATAGGAGGAACTAATGTAAGCACAACGTACATGACTTGCCCGAAAGGCAACAACGTTCTGGGTATAACAATGCCTTTCCTGGTCATGATAGTTAAGAATCTAAAGAAGTATTTTACGTTTGAAGTGACGATTCTAGATGAGACAGGAACGAGACGCAGGTTTCGAGTATCAAATTTCCAGAGCAGCACGCAAATATTACCTCTATGCACCGTAATGCCAATAGGTCTTTCCGAAGGTTGGAACCAGATTCAGTTCAATTTGGCAGAATTCACGCGAAGGGCATACAAAAAGCAGTTTGTCGAGGTTCAGAAGTTAAAAATAAACGCAAACATACGACTGAGGAGGATATATTTCACCGAAAGGCTGATTCCAGAGGATCAGCTGCCGCCGGAGTATAAACTATACTTTCCCTTGGCTACCAAAGGTGCTAAAGGAAAGAAAGCGATCGGACCTGACGTGAAAGACAAAGAAAACATTCAAGCTGCTGGTCCACAAGCCGCAGTACCACCAGTAGAAGAGAAGAAAGAAGAGCCACCTATAGAAGAAAATAAGGGTAGTAGAACAGAAGTAGCTAAGGCGGGTTCGAAAGTGTCTGTGCATTCGGTGAAGAAACTGCCATCGAAGTCAAAGGCTAGACTTGAGGAGGTGCCAGAAGGTGAGGTGCCCCCTGGTAGTAAGAGGACGTCTGTGGCTAGTGTGCCAGCACCGGCTGGAGGGGAGGAAGCACCAGCTGAAGGTGAACAACCTGCTGAGGAGCCTGCTGAGGCTCCGCCAGCAGAAGAAGGAGCACCTGCTGCGGAAGAAGCTCCTCCAACAGAAGCAACACCAGCAGAATCTGTAACTCCAGCAGAAGGGGAACCTCCTGCTGCTGAGCCTGAACCAGCACCAGCTGAGTAGAAAGCACAAATGGACGATCCGGGTTTTAGTTTTTTTTTCAACTAACTATAGCTGGAGGCAGGCAATCACGTAATCATCTATTATTTTTGCGTTACTTTCGTACATGTATAAACCAATAATTAGAATATTAATGTTATTATTTATTATTATGTTATTGTTATTATTAAATGTAATGTTTTCTAAATATTTGTTTTTTTTTCTTTGGAGTATGTAAGTGTATAAATGATTGTTGAATAAATAAAGTGGAATGTCAAATACAAATCCTGTGTATTACGAGTATTTCAATTTATTGCAAGTTTTTTTTACTAAATATTGGTTTGGAAGAAAATCATAATGAACGTTTTATAGGCCAAACTATTTTGTTACCATAATCAATCATGTATGATGAGTAATAATAAATGTCACCAATGATTGACACATGCATGTCAACTAACTGACGTGTGCAAAGTTGTAAATAAAAAACTAATTTTATACAATTGTGGCTGGAAAATAGCTCTAATTATTCAACAATGTTTAAAAATTCATACCAAAATGGTTTGCTGTCAATATTCTACAGCTGTGGGTCAAATCCGTTGGCCATTTGGGATATGGAGGTAAAAAATGGCCATATCAAACGACTCACAGATAACGAAGTGAATTCTATAGTTCTCGAGATTGTTAGTACAAATGTAGCGACAACCTTCATTAGTTGTCCCAAAAGGAACCAAGTTTTGGGGATCAAATTGCCCTTTTTAGTCATGATAGTAAAAAATCTAAAGAGGTATTTCTCCTTTGAGATAACAGTGCTCGACGACAAGAATATGCGGAGAAGATTTAGAATTTCCAATTTCCAGTCGACTACGAAAATTAAGCCGTTTTGTACAAGTATGCCTATCGGCCTCTCGGGAGGGTGGAATCAGATACAATTCAACTTGGCGGATTTCACAAGAAGAGCTTATGGGACGCAGTTTATAGAAACGCTCAGAGTTCAAGTACACGCCAACGCTCGTATACGGAGAATTTATTTTAGTGAGCGGTTGTATTCTGAGGAGGAATTGCCGCAGGATTACAAATTGTATTTGCCTTTGGAGCGTAAGAAGAAAGGGAAGGGAAAGAAGGAGGAGCCAGCGAAGCCTGCACCCGCGGCTGCTCCAGCACCGGAGGCGGCGCCGCCACCACCGGCTGAGCCACTGAAAGAGGAGCCAGTTGGTAAACCTAGTAACGTTACAGTTACGCCAGCAACGACAGATGCCGAGGATGAGAAGCCTGCAGAGGTTGTTGAGGAGAAACCGCCTGAGGCAGCCCCCGAAGCCGCCCCAGAGGCACCTCCCGAAGAAGCAGCACCAGCTGAGAATCCCCCTGAGGACGGAGGGGAGGCTCCCGCACCAGAATCCGAGGCTCCTGAAGAAGCCCCAGCTGCAGAGCCCCCAGCCGAAGAGGCTCCACCAGCTGAAGAATAACTGCACCGATCACGTTTTGGAGTTGTGTTTATATTTTGTTATTTATGTTGTAGATCCCAGTTTCTAGTTTTATTCGTATAGTTAAAATATTTCTATTTCAACGTTCGTTTTTCTATGCAGTTTAGATACTTATAATTATATCAATGGAGAAGTTTCGCGCCTTTCACTGTTTATACTCAAGTAGTAAATTAGCTTAACTCTTTCACCGAACGTTAGGAGTGAATTTACCACAAAAGTTCCGTCGTCGACAGGGATCGAACGAGTGACGTTTGAATTGGAAGTCCCACACCGAAATCGTTGAGCTATTGTCGCCTCAAATTACCTTCAACACAACACTCAACCGTAATCCAGTATTGCCAAATGGCATCAACTCGAAACGCGTAAACGTTAATTCGCACAAACAAAAAAGGGGCCATTTGCCAAACCGAAGTGGCTGCGTGGCCATTCAATATGCAAACGTGGCTCATAAAATTGTAGCATCGCCGGGGTGGCCGTCTCTTTTAATAGTTTATGCTTTGGTCTATGGTGCGAAATTCCGGCCCATTATTTAGGGGCTTGCCCGTCAAACGGACTGAACCAACATGGATTTATGGAAGCGGTTTACAGCATTCGCTTACTCGGTGCGTTAATATACTGGATTTTGAAAACTCATCAAAAATTAACGCGGAGGGACTTGCACATAAATCATGTAGAGCTTAAGCATAGTGAGAGCCCGGCGTAGGTGGTTGTGTTAATTCTAGTTAATTATCGCTTCAATAGCTTGTTACTGCGTAGCCATAAACTCTGGTCGTGCTGGATGCGAGGATCAAGGTTAATAAATTTATCCCCTTTTGTTTTATTTTAAAGCAAGTATGTGGTAGTTAGTTGGGAAGTCAATATTGACCGTGTTGGGTGGGAATTGAACCTAGTCTCTTGCTAAGCGCTCAGGCATTTTTTCCAACTAATAACTACAGGAATAATAACAAATTTTATTTGACTTACTGTAACAGGATGCGTAATATTTCTCAGTTTCTGTTGTTTCATTTCTCTTACCTGGAACAAAAAATGAAATAGTCCATTAGAACACACAACTTCAAACAATTTGAAACTACCTGAGTACCATGCTCAAAGAAAAGGAATACATTACAATATTAAACAAATACCAAACTGTATCAGAGTTACGAAACTATGATGTATGATCAAAGCTAATATGAAAAGAGCGTCTTTTGAGTTACTTTACTTCAGAATATTTTCAATAATCTTGCAGAAGATAGTCCATTGATGAATTCAACAAAATGGGTTAATAATACTTCTCTTTTTTGACACAATAAGAATGGAAAAATATGCCTTTACATTACAACTTTTTTATTAGAAATACCTTTGAAAGTACTCAAACCTAACATAAGCGGTTTATTCTACTGTTAGCACTAAAAATATCAAGTATTTCGTAAGAAAATTTAAGTTCACACACCGTGTTTATGAAATCGGATGAAATCGTCGGATAAGCGGAGATGTATGATGATGTTTGTACATCTTTAATTAAGGGGTGATTTTGCTACAAATATAAAATTGTCTGAGTCTGAATGCGTTTCTAAGCGTGCGAGTGATCACACGTTCTAAACTTGTTGCGTATTTTCTTGCGAGATTGCAGTCTAACAAAGTGTTGTTACCAATTTAGTTAGCAACATTATATCCAGGCCGTGTACGTGATTTAGCAGTATTCGTTATACATAACTGAGCGCTGGTGAGTTAGCGGTACAGCCTGCGATAAATCAACAACTTGCGGAACTGTTTCGGCTTTGGTCCAAATAATAAGAAAATAGCGGTGCTTTAAAAAGTTCGTTCGTTCGTTTCAACCAAATGACGTCCACTGCTGGAAAAAGGCCTCCCTCAAGGATTTCCATAACGACCGGTCCTACGCTGTCCACATCCCAGGCTCTTCCCACAACCTTCACCAGTCGTCGGTAGAACTATGTAGTAGGGAGTCTGTCCACAAGAACAAAGAGAGATTTTCACGATAAAACTAGCGGCCGCCCGCGACTTCGTACGCGTGGATCCCGTTTTACCCCCTTTTCCCGAATTTTCTTTGCTATAAACCTCACGGAGCCCGAGACCTTTCCAACAAATGCAAAACCGTGGAAATCGGTTCGTGCGTTCTGGAGTTATAGCGTCAGGGAGGAAAACCCGACTTATTTTTATATAGTAGATTATGAGATAAAAATACCTAGTTGGTTAGATCTCTAGTAGGCTACTGTCTGAACTTTATAAGGCCTTTACTTGTGGGCCAAACAAATAAGCTAATGTACGAGTATATTAGATTGAATTATACAAGGGCGAGCTCAAGGTCTTCCAGGAACGAGTGAGCTAATCTACCCTTCGGGAAAACTCATAATCATAATAGCGCCATTCATAATAAAAAAGTTTTGAATTGCTAACTTAGAATACCGTGTTAAAATGCCTTTATCTAAACTAAAATATGAAGCACTAAACTGCAGTATAGCTTAGAACAGAGGTCGTTTTATCTAGCATTATCAAAATATTGGATGTCCCAGGTAAGTCCCCAGGCATAGGTCTACCAGTAAATATCCGGCTAGAAATGATTTAAGCCCCCGAAGCCCGTATCTAAACGCAACGTAAATGCTGCATAGATGCACCTGCCTAGGGGGCTATTACAGAATTTACGGATTAAACGGATATTTACGGATAAAAGCCAAGATAAACCGGGTCAGATGGATAATACAGGTGTTCTTAGCTGAACTCCCTTGAGTGACGTTGCGATCGGCCTGGAACGTTAAATTTAGGCTAAGAACTCACGGCGCGATTTTCACCCGCGCCCGCGGCGGTTGTGGAATTGCGGTTTTATTTTAAAACTCACGGGAGCGCCGTGCGCTAAGTCACTGGTACAAAATGGTCGCCCGCCGATCGGGCGGTTTTCGCGCGGGCGAAAACCACCAAGTGGAACCCGCATACTACCGCGCTCGCTGCGGGCGAAAACCGCATCGTGAGTTGTGCATTAGTTTTTACATAAGTATCTGCATTCTACAGAAGCTATGGGCCCGAAACCGCCGCGGGCGCGGGTGAAAATCGCGCCATGAGTTCTTAGCGTTATATTATGGCAATGCCGTTTTGATTTAGACAGCACGTTAAGCTAAATGCAGCTCGGTTTTGTGGTTTAATAGGTACAGGTACAGTTTTGCAATAAAAATGTCTTGGTAGGTACTTAAGTATATCTCTAGGTTTATAGAATTTGTACAAAACAATGTGATGTGAGATAAGTAAGAAACAAGTTTGGTTGCAGGGCAAGTTCATTTATTCTCATCCACCCCGTTCAAGCTTGCCACCGGGGTGGCGGTTGCCTTTAATATAGTGGCGTTTACCACCCCCGAAATTGAAAAAAGAGTCAATGTGAAGCTTTTGACACATTGGGAAAATCATGGTAAAACAACAGGTGTTCAACGTTTAATTGCGAAACGTATTTTTTTCGGAAAATTACGTGGCGGTCCAGTAAAAAAAACAAAACTGTTCTTTAATAAACTCATATATTTAGGATTTTGCATAATAATATTAAATATTTCAAAAACATAAATGTACAATTTCCACTACAAATAATCAAGAAGAAGTTCCAAAATTTAAAGTTGTTATATTATACTATACAGACACAGATAACTTGTTGTTTATCAGATATTTTGTAGAGATTTTTATGATGAAATTAAACCAAATTTAGAAAACCATTTTGATACCTCCAACTATTAGATAGATAATATTTATGATTTTCATTTAGTTAATAAGAAAAAATTAGGATATTTCAAAGACGAACACAATGGTAATATATTATCGAATTTGTAGGTTTACCATAAAAAATGTATGCAATAAAGGTAAATAATAAAATAATAACAAAAACCAGAGAGGTTAATGTGTGATAACAAAAAATAAGTTTGATAATTATAAGTCTTGCTTATTCGATAAAAATATTCAACATGCTAAAAAGTATCGATTTAAATCTATGAAACATGTAATTTTTACTCAAAAAATTAATTAAATATGTTTGTCATATAATGACTCCAAGCGATACATAATAGCGAACACATTAGCGTGGGGTCGTTATTCATTAAAGTGATTTACTAACCTAATTTAATAAAGTTATAATTAGTTAATCAGATTCCCCCATACTAACAAAGTTCAAGTAAGAGAACAAACAATGAATCCATTGAAGAATTCTTCACCACGCCAATCAAGAAAGCTAAAACAAAAAAGTCTCCGACAGTGGGACGTCCGAATCCAAATATTGATTCCATATCCTATGTATCTTCAAACGCGGATGACGGATCGAAAGCAACACACTTAATAAAAATAGAAATATTAGAATTAAACAAACACATCAGAACAATGGAAACATGCAGATGTGCGTGTTATGTATTATACTAAATCAGCAAACGATTCAATACACATAAGAACTCGGTGAATCATTTACGAAATAATAAAAAGCATATCGAATGCACCAGGGTGTCAAAAATACACGATAAGCAATAAAGAATAAAACTGATCGAAATCAACACACTTACTAAAAATATAATTAAAAAATGGAACACATAGACACATCAGAACAATGGAAACATGCAGATGTGCGTGTTATGTATTATGTAAATCAGAAAACGATTCGATACACAAAAGAACTCGATAAATCATTTACGAAATGACAAAGAGCATATCAAATGCACCAGGGTGTCAAAAATACACGATAAGCAATAAAAAATATTGAATTTGTAGGTTTACCATAAAAAATGTATGCAATAAAGGTAAATAATAAAATAATAACAAAAACCAGAGAGGTTAATGTGTGATAAAAAAAATTAAGTTTGATTATTATAAGTCTTGCTTAATCGATAAAAATATTCAACATGCTGAAATGTATCGATTTAAATCTATGAAACATGTTATTTTTACTCAAAAATTTAATTAAATATGTTTGTCATATAATGACTCCAAGCGATACATAATAGCGAACACATTAGCGTGGGGTCATTATTCATTAAAGTGATTTACTAACCTAATTTTATAAAGTTATAATTAGTTAATCAGATTCCCCCATACTAACAAAGTTCAAGTAAGAGAACAAACAATGAATCCATTGACGAATTATTCACCACGCCAAACAAGAAAGCTAAAACAAAAACGTCTCCGACAGTGGGACGTCCGAATCCGAATATTGATTCCATATCCTATGTATCTTCAAACACAGATGACGGATCGAAAGCAACACACTTAATAAAAATAGAAATATTCGAATTAAAAAAATACGAAAAACAAACACATCAGAACAATGGAAACATGCAAATGTGCGTGTCTTCTATTAGACTAAATCAGAAAACGATTCAATACACAGAAGAACTCGATAAGTCATTTATGAAATAACAAAGAGCATATCAAATGCACCAGGGTGTCAAAAATACACGATAAGCAATAAAGAAAAAAACTGATCGAAATCAACACACTTAATAAAAATAGAAATATTCGAATTAAAAAATGGAACACATAGACACATCAGAACAATGGAAACATGCAGATGTGCGTGTTATGTATTATACTAAATCAGCAAACGATTCAATACACATAAGAACTTGGTAAATCATTTACGAAATAACAATGAGCATATCGAATGCACCAGGGTGTCAAAAATACACGATAAGCAATAAAAAATAAAACTGATCGGAAGCAAAGTGAGACGTCTAAATCCGAATATTGATTCCATATCCTGTGTATCTTCAAACACAGATGACGGATCGAAAGAAACACACTTAATAAAAATAGAAATATTCGAATTAAAAAAATACGAAAAACAAACACATCAGAACAATGGAAACATGCAAATGTGCGTGTTTTGTATTATACTAAATCAGAAAACGATTCAATACACAGAAGAACTCGATAAGTCATTTATGAAATAACAAAGAGCATATCAAATGCACCGGGGTGTCAAAAATACACGACCAGCAATAAAAAATAAAACTGATCGAAAGCAAC